TATCTGATACGCGTGTCCGATCAAATTTAAATAATATTTTAATTGGACACGACAAAGCTGTATCTGACACGTATCTATGCCAAATCAGAGGCGTATCCGTATCCGACACGTGTCCGATACAGCAACAACAACAACAACAACAACATCAAGCCTTTATCCCACTACGTGGGGTCGGCTACATGAATCCTTTTTCTTCATTGTGTCCTATTAAAAGTCAAATTCTCGTTTAAATCTAATAAAGAAAGGTCATTCCTAATATTTTCTAACCAAGTCTTTTTAGGTCTACCCCTACCTTTCTTAACATAAGTCAAATCTAATACCTCTAGTCTCCTAACCGGGTCATTGGAAGGCCGCCGTTTTATGTGACCAAACCATTTAAGGCGACTTTCTCTAATCTTATCTTCTACTGGAGCTACTCCAACCTTTTCTCGTATATGCTCATTTCGTATCCTATCTCTAAGGGTAAAGCCACTCATCCATCTAAGCATCCTCATCTCTGCCACACTTAACTTAGTATTATGCTTCTCTTTTAAAGGCCAACATTCGGCACCATAAAGCATTGCAGGCCTCACTACCATCTTATAGAATTTTCCCTTAAGTTTGAGGGGTACATTTCTATCACATAACAAGCCCGAAGCATTCCTCCACTTCAACCATCCAACTTGAATTCTGTTGATAATATCTCCATCTATTTCATCATCTCTCTGAACAATAGATCCAAGATATCTAAAACGTGTACTCTTATTAATGACTTGATCGCCCAAAGTCACAATCCCCTCACTAGGTCTATTGCTACTAAAATTACACTCCATATATTCAGTTTTAGATCTACTCAGGTTAGACTCTAAGGTTGACCTTCATAATTCAAGTTTACCTTCAACTCCCTCTCTAGTCTTATCGACAAGAAGAATATCATCAGCAAAAAGCATACACCAAGGTACATCCTTGATGCAGACAAACGAGATAGAAAAGCCAGATAAGGAGAACGATGGGAAAAACTATAACCAAACTCGATTCAAATAGTAGCAATCATCTATAAACACAAAAATCGATGGATAAAACGAGAAGAGAGATCAAAAGAAACAAAAGAAATTTAAAAAGTCGCTATCCTTAGAACAACCGACAGAATGGTTTCCTCACATGCATCGAAATGTAGGTTAAGTATGTGCTTAGGGCTAGCAAACCGATGGTCCACCACAACAAGAAAGTCCAAACGTCCAACCAAACACCTCCAGCAAATGCTCCCAAATCAGCCAACAAATACCTCCAAAGCTCAAGAAGAAGGATAAAAATGGAGTGGAACATGCGTAGAGAAGAAAGAGGTAAGAAGCCCAGACAAAATAGAGGAGAGGGAGAAGTGGACAAAGCTCTCAAGCTTTTCCAAGAAGAAGAGAAAACCCTCAGGTTTTTAGAGACAATGCTCAACAAAATTTAACAACCTTTTCCTTCATAAAACAACTTCTACTTATAGGCAAGAGAGGGGAACCAAACAGCCATAGCACCTCCAACTAAACCAATTAGATTTAGGGAAATGGAAGGCCAACAGTCATAATACATCAGCCCCCAAACGGTACAGCAAAATAGAGAAGGAAAGCCACGGAAACCAAGCAGAAAAGCCACGGGAACCAACCAGTCAACCACAAGAACCAAGCAACCAGCCGCGGAACCAAGCAGCCAACCACGGGAACCAAAGGGGCAAACCATGGGAAAATCACCCAGCACAGGAAAACAAGAAGACAAGGGGAAGGAGAAGAGGCAAGTCCACTCCAAATTGAATCCAAGAATTAATAGTATACCTTTTTGGATTGATGAGGTAAGTAGTGCAATAAATCTCCCATTTAATGAGCTAAACTTCAGCTCAACATTAATGAGCTAGCACATTTGAAAATATAGTCCAACTCCAAAGCAACCACCACCTCCCAACATCAATATCAGCTCAAAACTGTGAACAATATGCCCAACTCGAGAACCAGCAGCAGCCTAAGGGAACCAATCAAGCTAGCATACCAAAGGTCTACTAAAGCCCAAACACAACCTACCATGATCATTGGATGTTTTCCCATCATTTGATAGCTAAAAAAAATATAAAACTAAATTAAAAACTAATGTTCAATGTTTGATAAAAAAAAATACAAAAATCATGATTGCATCAATCCTCTTACAAATGTCTAGTGAGAACATCCATGACTAAAGCAAAAAGATATGGACTTAAGGCTGATCCTTGATGTAATCCAACCGAAATAGGAAAATACTTAGTCAACCCACCTTGTATTTGAACGCAAGTAATAGCTCCTGCATACATATCTTTAATAATTTGAATATAAGCATTATTAATTCCTTTCTTTTCAAGAACTCTCCATAGCACTTCTCTTGGAACTTTATCATATATTCTCTCTAAATCAATAAATATCATATGTAGATCCTCCTTATTCTCTCTATATTTCTCCATCAAACCTCTCAATAAATGTATGGCTTCCATAGTAGACCTACCCGGCATGAATCTAAATTAATTTTGAGAAACATTAGTATCACGCCGCAACCTATGTTCCATAACTCGCTCACATAGTTTTGAAGTATGACACATTAACTCAATTCGTCTATAATTCGCACACTCTTGTGCATCACCTTTATTCTTAAAAATAGGAATTAACACACTCAATCTCCAATGATTTGGCATCTGTTTAGTCTTCAAAACAATATTAAAAAATTTAGTAAGCCAAGAAATTCCTTTCTAAATAACATAAGTAAAAAAAATAATATAAACAAATTATTCTCTTCACCCATCATCATCGTACTATGTTTATAGCATTTTGATTCTCTAAAGACCGAGCTTGAGGACAGAAAACAAATAGAGCCATTCAAATAGAGTGAATAGATCCTACACCTTTAAGGAATTAATTAATATAACTTGAGGGAGGAAAAGTTGATCACCATGAAGTATGTATACTCCAGAAGAGTTATCGTGCCATAAGGGAAAACATAAACTCAAACACAGGCACCATGCCCAACAAGCTACTTTTTTCAAAAGCCAACATTTCTTGGAGATAGAATAGTCACGGAAATAGAAAAATTCAGACAATAAACACATTTGAAAATTTATGTCATTTTTACTCGATTCAACCCCCAATCAATCTTATAATCTCATTCTCCCTCTTATTACTTATGCCATAGCACATCACCACTTGAACATTGTTATGATTTATTCCTGCATTTCCATTAACTAATGTTATAATCTATACTGCTGTTCATTTTACACCCTCCATCAACATCTTTGAGTGCCTAAGATAAGAACTTGTTAAAGGAAAATAAAATGTAAAAAATAGCTTTTAGTTACTCCAAATCTTAACAATTCAAATATGTTGGTGAATGATGTAAAATATGCAAGAAGAATGGATACTCTCCTTCTAAAAGATGCATAAAAATAGACAAATTATCAAAATAATCAATTGTGAGGAACTATATCTTTTTAAAGAACATGGCCGCATAAATATAGATTCTCAAAAGTACCAATTCAAACAACAAAAATAATTACTAGTCATTTTCCAATTATTTACCTATTTATGGAATCCAACGATCCTGCCAATTGATCCCTTAAATGTCGGAAACAATGAAGTCCAGTAAGCTCATCTGTCTCCTGTTATACTGTAAACAATTAGTGCAGGAGGAAAATACATTGAAATACATAGGGCAACAACTCTATACTTGTTATTATATCAGATTAGGGATACTGCATTCATTATGTATAAGTATTTAGGTGTTAGGACTGCATTGGCTCTATAATGGACAATCTCTGTCAAGAATTTACATGATATCAGTTAAGTGTCCAGACAAAAATATAGCCATAAGTATTTGGAAATGTCAAAATATCTGAAAAATAACATGCTATGATTCATGAAAGTCATATTTCAACAGTTTCTATATCCACAAATAGAACAATTACTTAGAAAGAATATTCATAATGGTAAGCTGATATTACCAATAAATGATGCAAGTCATCAATGACATCTAGAGCACCAGCACAATCGGCAGCAGCCACAAGCTGCATTTGATCAGAAAATAAAACTAATTTACACGTGCAACAAATAGATAGCAAAAGACAAAATTTATATATTATAAGAAAACCCGCTTAGCTTGAATAAACAGACAAAAATAAAAGATCAAGATTCAAAAACCGACGCAAATATAAGGATTGAAACTGTCTCAACAGAAAGAAACGATGGAAATACAAATGCATATTACAAAATATTTAATGTTTGGTTGGGTATCAGGGCGACTTGTCAACATGCCATCTTCTCATAGCAGCTGGTACCACTACTCATGCTCGCATAACAAAGTCCTCTTTACTTGAGGGGGAAACAATAAAAGCTAGTTGTAGGCTCTCTGTACAATAAAAATTACTGGCTTGGATGTTTCTGTAGTCATTGATAAAGGCATCAAAATGAATGTTGAGCAATGCTTGATTCCAGCAAGTCCATAACTTGTAATTTGAGAAAATGCATAGCAGAAGACACGCTAATGAACTCCTAAGGATTTATCAAATATTATTGAAGCTTTTTTTAGCATTTTTTGGAAACATCCAACAAAGCATCAAATCTAAACTGGTCATAAGGCAACCTCCAACAAAGCATCAAATCTAAACTGGTCAAATTAAAGAAATAAAAATAAAGACCTTTTTAAGCCAACCTCATTATTTATCAAGACAAACATGAATAGGAAGCAAAGTTCATGATTACCAGATATAATGTATTATAGTTTATGGCTCTTTTGCAAGAAAAAAAAAATTATGTAATTTTCATGGTACAACATCTTTAAGCATTAAGTTCATGGGGCTATGAAAGCTAAACAGATGTGTAGTAAACAAGGAAATAAGAAGTGATAATATAAAAAGAAAGTTATAATAGCCCCTATGAAAGATAAAATAGTTAAAAAATAGACTCGTAGTTTGGGCATGTACAATAATACTTAGAAAATACAATTATTTGATAAATATACGATATTCGTGTTAATAAGTTAAGAAGAAAAAAGGAATAAACTGAGATAACAGGGACTAGAGTTCCTCAAAAAGATTTACGAAAAATATGTTAAAAATGCTATTGAGCATTTGCTTGCAACAAATTAAAAATAAAGACTCGTAGATCTAACTCTAAATAACTAGGATAAGGATAATACAAATGATGATATGATGAGAACTTACAACTTAAAACATGTGCAGTCATTGATTGTTAAAATATATTTAATGGTTTTTAATCATAAAATACTTGATTAAAAATTTTCATATATATGAGTGTATAAATTTATTTGCATATATGCCTATATGGCTATATGTGTGATATATATCAAGCTTTTATTGAGCTGAACATGCTAGAAGCCTAGAACTAATTCTTGTTCATGTTACAATTGTTAAGGGGCTTATCTAGGATCAATTTTATTTTGTGTTTTTTTTTAACAACATTTTTGTTTGATTTTTTATATTTTTTTTTATTTTTATAAACAAATGAAGTTATTTTCAAAAATACTCAAAAGTTGTTTTGAGTATCTTCAAAAATAACTAACACCGCCAACCACCAACAACAACAAACTGATGCCCACCATCTTCCACTATTGCCCACCACCAACCGTCGTTGTTGACTAACACTACTTTCGCCGCTAACAACCACTACCACCACCATCACACAAAAACAAAAACATATTTTTAAGATACCAAACATATTTTATTTCAAACTAAAATATAAATAAAATAAAGTATTTTTTAACAGCTTTGAATAAACATGCTGAGATATATTATTTAAGTTCAGCTCATTTATTTACCAAATGAGCCAAATTCAAGAGAGATACCAAACTACACCGAACACCAATCTAAAATGATAGCCCCTCTATGTAGGCATATGTCCAAAGTACAAGTTATTTTTCTCATTAAAGTTCAAAAATAACATTTCAGCAACTTAATTTGACAATTTCATTTCATTCCCCTAAAATTAACAAGTTTTATCGATTCGGCAATACATACAAATAGTAAACAACTTGGGCTGGAAAAACAACATTTTTTGTTAGTTTGACAGACAAACTAATAGCTTATAGCCTACAATGGAAGAAAAGGAAAGCATCAAGCTCTCATTTTCATATTATTACAATTACAACACAATTAAATGGTGATATTGTAACATTTTAGAAGGATACATTTTTTTAATGCAAAGATTTCATTTAGATAAAAATTCAAGTTTTGCATTTATTAACATAATCATAATCATCATCAAACTCATCCCAAGTATTTAGGATAGAAAACTTAAATCCTTCTTCGAAAAGATTCCTAGTTTTAATCTAATTTAGCAATATCATATTACGTAACTAGAATAGAGGGCAAGGTTGGGGTTGGGGTTAGTATCATCCATTGCCACCTAGATATAATGAATTAAGTAACAAAAAATCAGCTTTGTAAAGTATTGCAAGACTACAAACATCATACCTTCCCTAGACAATGCATTGGTAGAAGGTTCACACAGTGGGTGCAACATTTTTATAACCTAAAACCATGATAGCTATCATCTCTGTGACTCTGTTTGTATCTCACAACATTAGCATACATTTTAGCTACTTTTAAAACTACTTCTCAATTGTAGCGTAAACAATTCCCAAGCTTCTCAGTTTACCAATTCAACACATATTTATAGGTTCTTACTTGCCTTTATATTCCAATAAAAACCAGGAATAAAGAATTCTAAAATTTGAGGTCACTTTTCTTTGATCTCTATTTGGATGAGCATTTTACTCGGCATTTTAGGTCATGCCCCAATGGGGCAAGGCGTTAAAGGGCAAGCAAGACGAGGAGATAAAAAGATGAATGATAAGTAACGTGCTGATCTTGAGAATTGTACCTCCACTTGGGAGCTCAATCAAAGAGCACATATAGATGAGTTGCTGAGATGAGGCTTATGTTATATATATATATCCACACACACTATCCTCCTCCAGTATTTCCATTAAATTCCCATAAGGAACAAAACAGAGAGCTGCTAGGATGATGCCATAGAAAAATGAAGAGAAAGAAGAGGAAAAGATGATGAAAGAAAAAAAAAAACAGGAGAATAAGAGCTAAGGAAAGGTAAGAAAACTAACCCCACAACAGCATCGACAACAGGGACAGTTACCTAATCATCAAACTACCACGTCATCTCTCACCACTACCCAATATTGCCCTTAATCCATTTTTATCACAACCAGCATCACCTTGCCCTCCATTACCACACCATCATCTCTCGTTCCACCTCCAAACATTGGTAACAATACTCTTCATTCATGTCCTGAAACGAAATTGTGGCAGAAATAGACAACAACAACAACAATATTAAGCCTTTATCCCCCTGTGGGGTCGGCTACATAAATCATTTTTCTCCATTGTGTCCTATTAAGAGTCAAATTCTCATTTAAATCTAATAAAGAAATGTTATTTCTAATATTCTCTAACCAAGTCTTTTTAGGTCTACCTCTACATCTCTTAACATAAGTTAAATCTAATACATCTACTTTCCTAACTATCATCGGAAGATCGCCGTTTTATGTGACCAAACCATAACCATCTAAGGCAACTCTCTCTAATCTTATCTTCCACTGGAGCTACTCCAACTTTTTCATATATATGCTCATTTTGTATCCAGTCTCTGTGAGTAAAGCCACTCATCCACCTGAGCATCCTCATCTCTGCAACACTTAACTTAATATTATGCTTCTCTTTTAATGGCCAATATTCTGCACCATAAACATTGTAGGTCTCAACCACCATCTTATAAAACTTTCCCTTAAGTTTGAGGGGGATTTTTCTATCACACAACAAGCCTGATGCATTCCTCCACTTAACCATCCAACTTGAATTCTGCTAATAATATTTCTATCTATTTCACTATCACTCCGAACATTAGACCCAAAATATCTAAAACGTGTACTCTTATTAATAACTTGATCGCCCAAAGTCACAATCCCCCACTAGATCTATTATTACTAAAATTACACTCCTATCCAAAAGCTTACTAATAGTTAAATGAGCAACTTTGTCTAGAAAAAATCCAAAAGAAAATAATTGAATTATGTGAAAGATCACATGCTAAATAAATGAAAAATTTTAACAACAAAAAGGTTAAAATGTAAAAATATTTTTACATTTGAAGAGGAGTTTAATTGACTAATTTTACGAACAATCAGTGATAAACAACAACACCATCATCATCAAGTCTTTATCCCACTACGTGGGATTAGCTACATGAATCCTTTTCTCAATTGTGTCCCATTAAGAGTCAAATCCTCATTTAAATCTAATAAAAAATGGTCATTTCTAATATTTTCTAAACAAGCCTTTTTAGATCCACCTCTACCTTTCTTAACATAGGACAAATCTAATATATCTACTCTCCTAACATGGTCATTAGAAGGCCGTCGTTTTACATGACCAAACCATCTAAGGCGACTTTCTCTAATCTTATCTATCACTAGAGCTACTTCAACCTTTTCACATATATGCTCATTTCGTATCCTGTCTCTAAGAGTAAATCTACTCATCCACCTGAGCATCCTCATCTCAGCAACACTTAACTTAATATTGTGCTTCTCTTTTAAAGACAACATTATGCGCCATAAAGCATTGCAGGTCTCACCGACATCTTATAAAATTTTCCCTTAAGTTTGAGTGGAATTTTTCTATCACACAACAAACTCGAAGCTTTCCTCCACTTCAACCATCCAAATTGAATTCTACTGATAAAATCCCCATCTATTTCACCATCACTCTGCACAAGAGACCCAAGATATCTAAAACGGGTACACTTATTAATGACTTTATCGCTCAAAGTTTCAAATCCCCCTTAGATCTATTACTACTAAAATTACACTCCATGTATTTGGTTTTAGATCTACTCAAACGAAAACCTTTAGGCTCTAAAGGTTGAACTCCATAATTTGAGTTTACCTTCAACTCCCTCTCTAATCTTATCAACAATAAGAATATCATCAGCAAAAAGAATATACTAGGGTACATCCTTTTGCAAATGTCTAGTAATAACAATCAGAGATCAACGGAATATATATAAATGAATAAATATATTTATATGCAAAGAATATACATAAATAAAATTAAACATAAGTACATATAGAGGCACATAAAAATAGAGTGACCAAAGCGTGTTTATCGTGTGTTGGAATTTATAAACAATATCAAGCATTGTGATATGAATAACAATTCATGAACCATTTGATCTTAAAGAAACTAAAACAACCTGGACAATAGCAATTGACCTAAATTATAGTTCCAACAAGATAAAAGAATAGGATCAAGAGAAGGAAGGATTTCCATTAAGCCATAATAGTTTTCTCAAATGTATAGTTTGCTCTTCCAATATAAAAGCAGGAAGCTAATGTTATATAAGGAATAATGCAACCTCTTCAATTGCATGATAATAAGCCAATGAAATACAAAAAGTTAAAAAATCACAAAGTTTGCTCTTCATAGCTGCAACATTTGTCTAACACGCTTGACATTAGATTGGAGGCATTTCAATCTCAAATCAAACATGATCCAACCACGAGAGGAAATAGTGGGGACACCCACATAACAATTTTAGGATATGTTTTAAAATTAGTTTTTCAATTAAAACCTCATCCAATTTCTAACTCTATAATCACTCACACTCACGCCCATCTCACCTTCCCTTCTCAACTTCTCAAGCATTAATTCCATATACCCTCTTTCAAGCCCTAACAACTCCTTCGCTTGAACTTCTTAGAGTCAATACTCTTCACTGATTATCATTATGTCACTAGTTCATCTTGGTCGATTGCCATTATCGAACATCTTCTTAGTGGTGCATAATCATTTTCATTGATAATCTTCATGTTAATGTCTAGAAGCCTGTCATGCCTTTTTCTTCGCACTAGCTTTGCAACCTTCCAACGTCTTTGTAGTAACATGGTCTACCATCTGAGTCATTTCTTTACCACAGCTTTGTAGGCTCATAGCCCCGGTGCTCTTTGATGGTTCCTATTTGTAGCCTACTAACCAAATATTCCATCCCTTCCCTATTCAACTATTATGATTAATACTTATGGGCTATGGCCCTATACCTTTAGCTATACTCCCGCATAATTTCAATTCTTTATTTTAGTATATTGATGTGTTCTTTTCTTCTCAAATTAGAAATTACTATACTTAAAAGCTTCTAAAGCCATTTATAATATTTGTTTTTCTCATGAATCTAATGGCTAATGCTAATGGCATAAGCCTTATTTTGCTATCAGCAATGTTTGTTTTACTTTTGTTATTATTAATCCTTCATTTATGAAGAATATGATATTATACTTTATTGTGTCATATTTGGTATTGTAATTACATATTGTATAATAATAATTTATAAAAGAGAATATTATTTCTATTATGTTTCATATCCAACTTTTTATAGTTTTGTAGTGTTTTCATGTTTGTGTCATGTTGTGTCTATGTTCATGTTCGTCTTTGTGCAACATAGTTGCTAGCAAAGCTCAAAAAGACAACAAAAACTAGTAAGTAGAATTGGAAAGAAAAATTTATTAGCATAAATATTTTAAAAAACGTAGAGGAATCTATAGAATTAGCCATCCAAGTCTAACAATCATCAAGACAACAAACTTAGGATAAATTGAGACGAGTATCCACATGAAAAGTCCAAGAATTTATAAGCCTCAATAATAAAACAAAATAATTTCCTCATTCTAAGGGTTTAACTTTGACTCTTAACATGACAAAATGGAGAAAAAGGATTCATGTAGCTTATCCCATGTAGTGGGATAAAAGTTTGATGTTGTTGTTGTTGTAAAGGTTTAATTTATGTTCAAAGAGCTCTTGAGACGATCTAATAAACAATTTAGCTCCCCAATATTCGGGTAAGTTGCATACTCAAATGCTCCCAAGACGTTGTGTTCGCAACAACCTCATGCACTTGTATGTCTTTATATACACTTCTTTAAGTGACTAAATTGTTCAACATATCTCATTCACCTTGAAAAACAAAATCGCTCATCAACTGTATACCATATAAACTTTTAATTATTAATTAATTAAGCTAACATTTGTGCCCACATCCATCAATCATGCCAATAAAAACCATTTAGGTTTTAGGGTTTAGGGACATTTGAATTTTCTTTCTTGCACCATCTAGTATGTTAATAGGGACATAAGCAAAAATGGTTTTCCTTTCTTGCACCCATGAGTTATGTTTGATGACACAGTAGATATGGTGTGCAAGCCAATTCAACAAAAAATATTAATACAAGGAAAATTAATTTAAAGTTTCTGATAAAGGCACAACAATTCGTTGGCTCATGTGACTCAAATATGGCTTATCATAGATTTGATGATAAATAAAAATTGTATAATGTCATTTAATGGTTTGTTAAATATTTTATTTCAAGTTGGTCATATTCTAGCATTTATGTAGATGATGATGATTTCCATAAAGCAACTTGGAGTACTTGTCTTTTGGAGAAGAGCTAGAGATGTAAAATTCAATAAAACTAAGGATGCAAGATGTAATACAAAAGTCTAGGTACCATGGTGTTTGAGTTCATTAAAATCATTATATATGTTTAAGTTTGATTTACCAAATTGATCAAAGGTAACGAATACATAATTAGAACATTTCAAAACTTTCATATATAAGTAAACAAAAACTTATTCTAAGAATTCATATTTAATAATACGAAAAAAGAAATACTTAGGAAACTATTTAAAACCATTTTTAGGCTATTAGACTTCAACTGTTGGCTATAGTTCTTAGTTACATGGATTTTTATGCACTAGAGAAAACATCCATGTGATCTTGATCATACATTCATACATATGATCATTCATACATATGATCCATGATCATATATATGATTGATGATTGTCAATATGATCTAAAGTGGCATAGTCATTGAGAACTAGTAGTTAATAGCCACTAGATAATCGTCATAGGCAGAGACATGATGCAACTTGTAGTTAGAAACTTGAATTAGAATCATATATCAAACATGTAATTGTATAAATTGTTAGCACAAAGTTCAGATGAATATGAACCGATCATACATACAATCAACTAGCTGGCAATTTTTCTACCTTTGCTTTACCAAATTTCCTTATAATTCGTTACTAGTTGTTGGAAGGCTTATAGACCATTATGGTGCCAATAAAGAGGCCTCCTCCACTTTCAAGGCTAATGGAACCTTGAACCAAGTGGTTTCACTCCTAATCTTTGAAGGAGAGTTTTCAAGTGAAAATAAAAAGTGAAGATCAGTTGCTCAACTAAAGCTCTAGAGGGCCTTGTGTTTTTTATCCTTCTCTTACAATTTATAGGAAGTCTTCTAAGTGATTCTAACTATATTCTTTCAATCTTTTAATGAGAGATATTTGTATTTTATTTTTTAGGTCAAAGGAAATTAATCACCTGCACAAGTGAAAAATCACTCACTTAGCTTGTTTGTGTAATATTTGTGGTGTCAAGTGGAACATCACGAGCACGCTAACTAGATCATAGTCATGGATGTATGTCGGTTCATAGTCAAACCATACAAAAAACACTTTTTACAAAAATCTTTTTTGCTTAATTTTTATTTTCTTTGCATATTTATTCATTTATTTAACTTGAAATTGAATGTTTATGGTGAATGCAATATTTGTTCGTGTGATAGTGTGTTGAGTAAAACTCATTTATTTGTACTTCAATTTTTCTTGCCCATATTCATAAAATTTTCTTATAATCAACATAACTTGAATATAAATTTACACTTCCAACTTAAGTGCATAGTGGTTTTATTGAAATAGCCTGTGAAGTTAAGTAGATTATTACATTGAGCTTGACTGATACAACCCAGTCATTACCTTCATTTTATATGGTATCACACTTGCAGGATAAGATTCCTTGATTTTAAGTGTTTATGATCACTTTTTACACTAAGATTATTTAGATTGTGACTGTGACTTAAAAAACACTCACATGTTATCGTTTATTCACATTGTAGATCATATCTCCCCTAATTAGTTTAAAACCAACACGTTAACATGAGCTTGACAAGCAGATTTAGTGATTTTCAAAACAAATTAGCAGCACGATAGTTGACAGGCTTGTGATTAGCAGCTGAACAGAATGACTTATTGTGATCGACAAGGAACCAATCGCATTTAACATAAGAGCGTAGCAAACCAAAGTACCATTAAATTTAAAGTATTTTCAGGAAAAATAAGCTCTATTGCTAGATCATATTATATTCTCAGTAGTTGAACGCTAATAATGTAATAGAAACGTACCAGCTTCAAAGCTGAAAGAGCATGGCTAACGTACAATATCACCGTGAGCATCTGATGCAGCGCCACAAGGTTCCCCCTCGTAGCATTGAGCTCTTGCACCTGCTTCGCTGATCCCACAAGATCACCAGTCAGGATCCTAATCGTCTCCTTCAGTTCCCTGACCTTCACACACGCCTCCACAATCTCTCCATTTAATCCCTGCAGCTGCACCTGGGCCTCAAAGAACGAGTCTGATCGTAGCGAAATCTCCCTTACCAAATGCATCTCCACCAAATCCAAATAGTGGGTAAGCCTCTCCTGCAGTTCGGCGTTCTCGGCTATGGAAGGCGAAAAAGGGCAGGCTGCGCGGAACACTGCACCCTCTTCAAGAGCAAAGTCCTCCTTAAAGAAGAGCGCCGGCACTTCCCGAAGACAGGAAACGAGAGCCTCCCCGTGACCGCGTGACTCAGCAATGGCATCACCCGTCTCTCTACTGGTGTGTTTGCGAACATCCTCAAAGCGGGAGTATGATTCGAATATAGCTGAAAGGTAAGGCTGGAATTCGCCACGTGACACATCCGGAAGGGAGACGGAGGTGGCAATCGGCGCCGAGAAGTCGGGGGCGCCGACGGAAGCAGAGGGCCAAAAAATAGACCAGGAAGCGTCGGAGCGGGACGCGTGAGGGTTGTTGAGGATAGAGGAAAGGCTCTGTGTGATAGCAGTGGAGGGGGGGAAGAACGAGGAAGGAGAGTCCAAATCGGTGCTGGATCTACCGGAGGATGAGCTCGTTGTGCGGATAGGAGGCCTTCCTGAGTGGGAAGGCAGCGCTTCCATCTCCTGCAGCTTCTCAGGAAGCTGAGACCATCGATCCGTAAAGGACAGGAAACCCTAATCCCAGCGGCCAAACCTTAGATCATATAGCAGTCCGATCCAGGAATGCGGCGCCGGAGAAATGTAGCGGTGGATCGGTTTCTAAGATCTGAATATTGGAAGAAGAGGGAAGAGAGTATTAAAGTATAGTTTCTAGTCGAATGATAAGACGCGAAAACGGAAGCCAGGGGACCGTATGCCACATTGCCACTGCATAAAGTCGAATTGACGCTGCTTCAACTCTGTATCAGATCGCATAACTCCCATCTGCACTCAAAAATAATTCATCAAACCAACTGATCATTTGTACAAGCCGCATCTGATCAACAATTAAAAGTCGGTTTTACTTTTGATGAACTTTCTAGTTGCGGGATACAATATGAGGATAGAATTATAATATTGTGTTTTAGTATTTACACGGATTTCTAGCTCATATATATAGAGAACATAAGATTTTTACGTGGAAATTTTTGAAAAAGAGAAAAATCATAGGGCTTGACCTAGTCTTAAATGATTCCACTAATATTTTGGTAGATTACAATGAGCTGACTCGTCCCTTAGGGCGATTGGATTACAATGGGCTAACTCATCCCTGAAAGTCCGGCGTCACTTGGTGGTCTGGCGCAGGGGCGGAATCAGCCTTAATTCTTAGGGGGGCAAAATTATAAAAAGATAAAAATATACATTTATAACAAAATTTAAACAATATTATATTGTAATAAAAATTACAAGCTTTGCATTCTATTTTGCATCTTCTGATAATGTTGCATTACAGCTTCATTTGGAACTAAATCAAATACTTCTTTCTCAATATATGGAACAAGACAGTCGTTGAGCCAATCATCACCCATTTTACTGTGCAATCTATGTTTAACAATTTTCATTGCTGAAAATGCTCTCTTCACTGTAGCGGTGGTAACGGGCAAAGTTAATGCTAAAACAAGAAGCTGGTGAACTAAGGGGTACACGATATCTTTTTTAGCCTTAACAAATTGTTTTGCTAGATCAGCAATGTTGTCCAAAGATGAGAACTCCTCGCTTGAACGCATATCAAGAATGTATGTCGATAGCTGGTGCTCTAAAGCCACAAGTTCAACAATAGAAAAATCGACTGAATATAGTTCTGCAAGCCGAATTAATTTCTCCTTATTATAAGCAGAGAATGAGTTACTTGGATTTAGACATGACATACAAAGAAGCAATTCAGTACTGGCTTCAGAGAATCTATTATTCAGCTCTTGAAGTGCATATCAATGATAGTATAAAAGAATTCCACTCGATAATGATGTAAATTTGTTGCGTCATCATTTCTGCGTGTAGATCGTCGACGGGATTTGAATGTAGAACTCATAACAGGAACATCAACTTCAAAAACATTACAAAAATGCGATACTTCTTCTAATAAGGAATTTCATCCATTATCCCTCATCATCTGTAATTGTTGTTTAGAGATTTGCACTAACTTCATTGCATTCAATATATCCTGGTCTTTTCTTTGCAATGCCTGTGACAATTCATTGGTGACACCTAAAATATCAATCAATAAGTGCATAGCAAGGATAAAATCAAAAGATTCCATAGCATTTATCAGAACACTAGCTTCAACAGCTTGTTGATCATGTACCACATCTTCTTTGATAATTTCAAGAACTTCAATTACTGAAGCATACATTTTTTTCAAGCTAATTAATGTATGAAAATGTGAACCCCAACGGGTGTCACCAGCTCGTTGTAAGCTTGTCTCTTGGTTCAAACCTCTACCACTGTTTAGCTCTCCTTTAGACAAATGAAACATTATTTTATCATGTTGAATTGCTCTAAGAGCATCACTCTTACATGAAGCTCCAACTGTATTAACAATTCTTGAAGTAATCTCAAAAAGATGCTTCGCATGCCAATGATTTTTAGTTACGGCCACTAAACATAGTTGAAGCTGATGAGCAAAATAGTGAACATAGAATGCATGAGGATTATCATTAAGTATTAAGGCCTTCAAACCATGAAACTCCCCACGCATATTAGATGCTCCGTCATATCCTTAACCTCGAATCCTATGTATGCTCAATGAGTTTTTAGCAACTATATCTTCCATGGCTTCTTTTAAGGCAACAGCATTAATCGATGCGACATATTTAATGCCTATAAACCTTTCAACAACTTGCCCTAGACTATCCACATATCTCACTGCGACAGCCAGTTGTTCCTTTGTAGAAACATCACGAGATTCATCTACCAAAATGGCATATATAGTAGGAGTCACCAATATCTTTCATGATTGATATCAAAGTTTCAGCAGTTGCAGTAGAACAAATTTTTTTCTGGACCTTTGGTGAAGTTAACTTCAAATTTGAGCTTGAATATGCCGTAGAAACTTTCTTTATTTCATCATTATGATTACTAAGAAAATTAAACAGCTCCAAATAATTTCCTCGATTCTCCGATCCGGAAGTCTCGTCATGACCACGGAATGATAACCCTTAGCGCAACAGAAATCGTACACAATCTACTGCAGCAGTCAACATAACCCTATAATCTTTTCTATTTCTCTCATCTTTGCTAAACCATAGAACAGGAAGGCTTTGTTCTTTTGTCTTCATCAGGTCTTCACATTTGTGTCTAGCCTTATTATGTGCACTATTATGATCTCCAACGTGACTTAACAGTTTTTATTTATTCTTCCAATTTCTGAACCCTTCACCAATAAATGAGTCTCTCCCACCTTGTTCTGTAATAGTTTTATCTTGAGGTTTGAACAAGTAGCAATACAAACAAAAAGCAGCATCTTTATGCACGCTGTATTCTAACCAATCGGGATATTCCTCAAACCATTTTGGATTAAATCTACGTGTAAGATTGCCAAATATTGTTTGGGGGAATTGATGATTTTTTGGTTAATGGGCTCCCTTCAATAGATATGCTCTCCGAATTTTATCTCTTTCATTTACATCATAACACCAAATTGAAGGTCGAATTCCTGGATCAGCTGGGAGACTGTTAATATCAGTCTCCAAAGGTTCTTTCCTCTCTAGATAACGTTCCATTCGAATCAAAAAATGATTTGATATATCCTGTGAAAAATTATATTAACATGGTCTACTCTCTTTTAGTAAGATCAAACAAAAAAAAGTTTAATATAAAGAGTTAAATATCATATAAGGAATCAATCCAACAATAATAAATCAATCCATAACAACATATATGCAACAATTAAAAAAAAAGTTCAATTTATCAGCCTAGCATTAAAATCACCACTGAAAGAAGAAAAAGACCTAAATCAAAAGTGTGAACTTAAAGACTTTTCTCCAGCATATGGAGTAGCTTCCAGCACTGAGCCACTGACTTATGCTTCGCCAGTTGTAAGTAGACATATATTGGTGAGGGTAATAACTAGCCATAACCAAAAGAAAAAAAAAACAGAGCTTTTACCTGAAGAATTTAGAGAAAATCAAGTCCATTCTCAAGGTCTCCATACTTGTTTGAGCTTTATTTAATACACACTTATGATGACATTTACTGATTAATGTTCCTCTATTAAATCCTTGAGCAAGAATTAAAAAAAAAAAAAAACTTCTCAACAAACTAACATGAATACAACAGCCTTTAAAAAAAAACTTCTCAAGTCCATTCTCAAGGTCTCCAAACGAAGCCTTTGTTTAATATTTTCTGAGAAAGATGGATGGAGATAGAAAGGGAGAGATAGAGAGAGAATTTCATGGATACAACAACCTCAGATGTCCCTCTCAACTCTCAAGAAAATGAACAAATTGACATTTTACTGGCAAGATGATGCTTATCTCAAGTTCTCAACGCACAATTTAATTCTATTTTTGAATTTCGATCAAAGCAGAAAATAATATAATTTAAAAATTCTCACGGAACTGCAACTGCTGGCCAAACCAGTTTTCTAAAGGAAAAGACATACGAAAAATATAAGAAAGCCAAAACTCAGCTAATTTTTTTTGCAGGAAAAGATAAATCATTTGATTTAGCAACCAAAATCTGGAACTTGAAAGAAAAAACAAAAATCTGAATAAATTTCAGAAAAAAGAAGAAAAACTTACACAATCGTGATTCCTTGGAGCGGAGCTGCGGCCTGCTTGCGAGGGAGCTGCGGCCTGAAAGTTCTACCCGCTGCCGCATGAAGAAGAGGGAAGAGGGGTCGAGGGTTGCGGCCTGCTTGCGATTCACGAAGAAAAAGAAGAATGAGAGGCGTCGTGGGATGTTAGGGCTAAAAAGGGGCAAAAGAATTTTTTCAGAGGGGGAAAACTACTAAAATGCCCTTGCATGTAATTATTTTTTTTTAAGGGGGGGCAATTGCCCCCCCCTGAACTATACTTGCTTCCGCCCTTGGTCTGGCGGAAGTCTAGCGTCACTTGAAAATTCGGGCGTTAGTTGGTAGCCCGACGGTGGTTTGGCAGAACTTCGGTGTCTGGCAGTGGTCTGACATAACTCCGGCCTTGGCTGGTGGTCTAGCAGAAGTTCGAGCCTCAGGTGGTGGTCCGGCAAAACTCCAGGTCTCAGGTGGTGTTCCGGCAGAACTACGGTCCTCAGGTGGTGGTCCAGTAGAAGTCCGGGCGCTGGTCGAGGATGAGCTAACGGGCAAGAGCGATATACGTTCTCTCTCTTACTCTCTTACTTAGGGTCCCTTTTTAAGAGGAAGGGTTGTCTATTTATAAATTTCCTATAGTGATATGGCCCGTAAATAGGAAGAAGATCAAGGATAAATTGGGAGTGGATTGGATGGAAATCCCTTGATTGTGGACCGTTTGCTAGACATTTGAAGGTCTTAATGGTGTCGAAATTCTATGATCTTGGGTTTGTTGGATTTGTCTCGTCGAGCCGCTCGATTCGACTATTAGTATGTCACATTTGGGAACCGTTTGGTAATCTGAATTGGGGTTCGAACCTTGCAACAATGCTTCGGACCCTAGATTCGGACTCGGATTGAGTCGAATTTGGTGTCATTGGGTTTGTATTTTCGAGACGTTCAAATCAAATGTAAGTTTGTTGAAATCAGAATTTGGATGGTCACAATTTTAATTCGAAAGTTTTCAACTTGATTTTCCCTCAAGATTCGTGCCCGATCAAGATAAATTTTTGAGGATGTATCATTTCTATTTACATGCACTTGTTTTATTTTTTTTAGCAGGTTGAGAAACTCGAATGCAGGATCAAGCAGGAGGTACAAATATTCTCAACCGTCGTGTCACAGCACGAGCCGACACTTTTGTAAATATTCAGATCTTGGTTAATAATTATGTAAATGTTTATTTGTGAATAAAACAAACCACTAATAAAGGCAATAAAAAGAAAAAAAATCAACACTTTAGACAGGACCTTAATCAACCAAGGCTACGTTTTGATCGACCAAATTTATTGCATTCACATATAAATATAAAATATAGGGATGTAATTATATGTTGACATTTAATAAAAATATCAGTTTAATTTATAATGGAATTACAAAAATAATTATCAATTTGAATAATTTATGGGCTTAAATTACTTAATTTTAGTCCTTATCTTTAACACAAATACACATAAAGCACTACTCAATCGTACTTATTAATGGTCGATGTCTGCTCAACATGGATCAAATCGAAGCGCCCTAGCCTACGGAGCAACTCACCACTAATGGTGGGGATACTCACTCCAGCGTGTGTGGCTAGCTATCGGAGTAATTATTGTGTCTGGACACCGAACGCATCCAGAGGCCGGTAAAAAAGCGCCACATCAATGGGCACTCAGTACCACGCTCGGTATCACTCGGTATGCTCGATACCGAGTCTGGACGTAATAATTTTTCCAGCTATCGTGGCTTGCAAGGGCAAAAAAATATTTGCCTACACCTATCCCAAGTTGGCAACTTCATCAATGAGTCATTCCTCTTGAAGGTGTGCAACCGCGTCTACATAGTCGGCAATTCCCTCCAATCAGTCACCTAAGGAACCATCCATTTATATTCATTAATGTTTTGACCAATATTTACATGTGTGTCGATTAGTGTTTGTCGTCAAATTTCATGTCTGAAAGGCGGTATGCCCATGCAGCACAAGGTGTGATGAAGGGGTAAGAAATATGTGTTTTATACTCATAAAAAGAAAAGTTCTTATACAAATAATATAATCGATTTTATCAAGCACCTTGCACCGGAAAGGTAAACACTCACCCCAAAAAAATAATGATTTTTTATTGAGTCTTTACTCTGTAAGCCCCATATTCAATTAGTCAATATCCAAAAGAGTTCGATCGACCTACATACTAGGGGTGTCAATACTTAATTCGACCCAGAAAAGTCCGAGTTTGGGTCGGGTTTGATTTTAATAAATTGACCCGTTTTAAAAATCGGGTCAAGTTCTAATTGACTCGAGAACCCGAAAACGACCCGACTTCAACCTGATTTTAATAAAACCCTACTTATAAACCGCGATTGTGTGGTTTGGATATGGGGTTTTTCACTTGTTCAATCATTCTCAGTTCTCTCTCGAGCTGTCAAGGTCCGTTTAGGGTTTTAGTTGTGGCCCTTACTCATTTCCTCTCGACTCTTATCATCATTGGTTCGTGCCTATAAATTTTGACACCCCTACTACATACTAGTGTACACATGTATATAATTTATGTATTTTTCATAAACAACTTTAAAAAAATGTATGATATAGCCAATATAACAATTGTTAATTCTACAACAAATAGGATTTAAAGGGTTAATGTTTATTGCATGTAATAGAATTGATATATATATACACACAACAACATCAAGCCTTTGTCCCACTACGTGGGGTCGGCTACATGAATCTTTTTTCGCCATTATGTCCAGTTAAAAGTCAAATTCTCATTTAAAGACGGGTCAAAGCATAAATCAAATTGAACATATAAGATTATGGACGATAATAAATCTAGGCAAAGCTATCTCTACTACATGATGATTCATTATGAAAAAAAATAAGATAATATTAACATATGTACATAAATAATTAAGTATTTAAAGCAAGACTGATAACTTGCAGTATTTAGGAA